TTACTGTTTCTTTAAACTTTATAATAAGGGATGGGTATTTTAATCTAATTTGGTAACTGTGCTGCATCAGACAATATTCAAAATTGTTTTAAGCACTTGTTATAAGCTGAAGTTTTTGTAGTAGCCAGAAGGTGGCATCAAAATCAATTGAGTGGAAATCCCCAAGAAAAGGAGCATACTCAAATATCAAGAATAACTTCCCTAAAACTCAACAGGCAGAGAGAGTTACATCAACAAAGCACTCCATTTCCTTTGAGGTCTCCCTTTTTCATCTGTTTCGACATTTTAGAAAACCCCCAGTGCTTCCCCTAGCATCCTTTTTGTTAGGCATGGATAAAAAAAAAGCAAACAGTAGCCAAATTCTACATCCCGAATACTACCACACCATCTCTTAACATGGAATTTACACTTAGTTATAAAGAATGTCTTTGAGAATGGAGAATCTAGTGGTGTTGTGTGTACATAATGACACTAACAAGTATAAATACCCTGTTACAGTCCAACAAGTATTTTCTGGACTGTATTGTTTGGGATGCCTAAATTAATGCATTTTACAATAGTAATTTACTTGTGTGTGTTTTAATTAAATGATAGTTTACCCATTTATATTCAAGATTTTTTGGACTGGTAAACATACATTATAGGACTATATCATAATTTATTTAATCAATCTCCTATTGATAGTAATAAAATGGAAATAGCCTAAATGTCTACTATTTCTTTTTTTTCTTTTTTTTTTTTAACATTTATTTATTTTTGAGACAGAGAGAGACAGAGCTTGAATGGGGGAGGGTCAGAGAGAGAGAGGGAGACACAGAATCTGAAACAGGCTCCGGGCTCCGAGCTGTCAGCACAGAGCCCGACGTGGAGCTTGAACCCACAGACTGTGAGATCATGACCTGAGCCGAAGTCGGACGCTTAACCAACTGAGCCACCCAGGCGCCCCAAATGTCTACTATTTCATAGTACCTATATCACTATAACATTAGAAAATTTTTATGCAAATTTCCACTAGATAAGTTTCTAGGATGAAAACTGCTGAAATCAGAAAGAATATACAAATTTTATAAATATTGTATAGAGGCCACTTTTAATATTTATTTATTTTTGAGAGAGAGAGAGAGAGAGAGAGAGAGCGCATGAGCAGGGGAGGGGCAGAGAGAGAGGGAGACACAGAATCTGAAGCAGGCTCCAGAATCATGACCTGAGCCCACTGAGCCACCCAGGCACCCCAAAGCCACTTTTAGACAACAGGCTTGAGCACTGGAACGTGATTGAGGTAGAAGGGCCCAAAGTGACCAAAACCCCCTGGCTGGATACAGACAGGCCCATCAGGCAGCCTACCTCAGAATATCCATAGGCCCTAACCAATAAATGGGCTACTTATAACCAGTCATAGTTACCAAAACGGGATATTCCATAGGTCACCGTACCTCCTCACCTTCTTCCTTTAAAAACAGTCCCTACCCACCCACTGCCCTCCTTGCAGACAGCCTCTCCTCTGCTCTCCTGCCCACAGCTCACTTGCTCCGTATTCAATAAACGTCTCTCTCCTTTGTTGCCTCAGGTGAATTCTTTTCACTGTCTGTGCCACCAGCTTCCACGTGATTGTCATCCCACATTTGGAGGCCCCATCCACTCAGGTGAGATATTACATTTAGACACCATATGTTTGATAAAATGTGATAAATATTATATTTCACTACTACAGTAGAAAAGGATATGCTTTTTTCTCCTCACTTTGATCAACACTGTCAGATTTTAAGGTTTTTAATTTGGTAACCTAATAAGCAAAAAAAAATGTATTAATTTGCATTTCTTTAACTGTGGGTGAACAGTGCTTTCTATTATTATTGACCATTATTTGTTTTCTGTTTACGACTTTTACCAACTTTTATATTGAATTACTGTGTTTTCCTCCTTGATTCTGTAGCAGTAGTTCATATAATAAAGCTATTGACCTATTGTCAGATATATATACATTGAAAATATTTTTTTCTGGATTGCCATTTATCTTTTAACTTTGTATACAGTGAGAAAAGTGGTAATATAGTGGTAATATATTTTCAAATAAAGACTTCTTTACCCCATAATTCTATAAATATACCCCTGAATTTTCTTCTCTTACTTTATTGTATATTTTATATACAGAATCTTCAAATTTTCAGGGCTCATTTTGGTGTAAGGTAGGAGATAAATATCTATTTTATACTCATAAATAGCATTTCAATTAATTCAGTATGATTTAATAATTCATCTCTTTGCTACTGACTTAAAATCTCATCTTTATCACATTCCAAATTTATACTTATATTTATTTCTCCCTGCCACTTCTAGGATACTTCCACAGTGCTTTAAGTGATTAAAATATAATATTTTCATAAATGTTTTCACTTACTATTAAAAATCCTATCATTTGAACTTTCTTATTAAGTTTTCAAATTAATATACACTTATTATAAGAATTATAACAATTGAAAGCTTAAAAATATACATTGGAATAGCACAGATGCAGAAAAAATATAAATTATATATTATATAATTATTGTGTGATAAATATGGTATCAGAAATCAGAGGGGAAAAGAGCATATTATTCACAACTATTTGGAGATAACTGCATATGCAATTGGAAACACATTTGATTACTACTTCAGTCCCTCTACAAAAAAGAAACTCCATGTAGATTAGAAATTTAAATATAAAAAAGGAAGCCATAAAAATATTACAGAAATATAGGTGAATGTTATTTTCCAGAGTAGGAAAGCAATTATAATCATGACACAAGATCCAGAAACTATAAAGGAAAATCAATAGAATCACTCCTTGAAAATATAAACATAAATTTTAATGACTCCATTACATGAGAGAAGTCCTAATTTACTATCATCTACATATTGTTGGATCTCTGTATGGTTTCCAACACATTGTTATTATAAATAAGACATTAACGAACATATCTTTATTTTGCTTTGTTTTGTCTTTGAATAATCTTTATGTGCTGAAATTTGTGATATCCCATTTTTGTTGGAAATAAGTAGGTCATTGGCTTAGGTGTAGAACACTTATTGTTACAGAGGCCTTTTTAAAAATATCCTATTTTAAGAGCTAGAGACACATGTGTAGGATTTTTTTTTTTTTTTTTTTTTTTTTTTTTTTTTTTTTTTTACTACCTGGTGCTTTCTTTGTCCTTCATAGTATGAAAGTTTTGTTGGCAATGTCTAGGATTTTTTGAGTTACTGAGGTTAAAATAAGAATTCCCACCCTACTTGAGGATTTAATCCACTCTCTGATAGGCAAGGAGGACCTTTTTGTACAGGTCAGCTTGTCTGCCATAAACTCAATCTGACATGATTAAGGATTTGACCCTCCCCCCTGCCCCACTACCCAATGTCTAGGGTTTTTTTTTTTTTTTTTATCTGTAATGATTCTACTCTGTGAATTTTATTAACCCTTTCCTGAATCTATTATTTAATTTGTACATCTCTTGGAATAATAAGCTCCCAAGTTATGGGTGGGCAACACAAGTAACACAACAAATATTCACACACACACACACACACACACACACACACACACACACACACAATGTTTTGAGCCTTGTTTTTTCTTGTTTTTAGTGGTAGCAAGGGCTGTTGTTTTTGTTTTTCATCCATTCAATACCAACTTTTATAGAAACTGAATTGGTTATGAAGAACTGGAGATCTAGTAAAAACCCAGGTATTTCAAGAAATGGACCAGTGAGAAAGAGAAAAATTGTTTAAAAAGTGAGATTTATGTTTTGTCTTGTTTTTAAGGTAAAAAAATAGAAAACTTGCCTTCAGAAATTGGAAACTTTTGTTATGATTAACATTAGAAAGGAATTTGATAAAACATTCTCCCTTGTTTGCTTCAGCTAGTCAGTCACTGTCTCTAGTAGCCAAGTAGCCTTGAAAAACCTACCACTCGCTGAAGACTTTCTGTGTGCACCCCTTTGGGAAGTAAAGTGATTTGCCAGTAGGTACTGTGGCAAAAACAATTCTAACTGCACTGTTTGGCTACTTAGAACTCAGCCTTCCAAAAGCCCATTTCCTAAGGAATTTTAAAACATGGCTTCTGATAAAATCATTCGGCCAACTCATCCATCATAATTATACTTTTACTAAGCAGAATCTTCATGCATCCCAATAAAATACTGTATAACAATGACAACTTGTCCTAAATTATATAGTATGAAATTTCCCAATTCCTTACAAATTGTCTCTAGGGAAAAAGGGAGGGAAAACTTCCTTTATGAATTTTAATCTTCTTACTAAGCTTACTAGGATTAATGTGAAAGTGATTTTGTCACTAGCTAGACCCCAAAACCTGGCCTTTACTGCTCACATGCTTGTATCCACCAACACTTGTCCCACATTTCCCTTAAGCTCTACTTATCTCTTAACTCAGACAAAGGACCTTATGGGCATAGCATCCTGTGATGGCAAACAAAACTACCCCTCAAGCAATAATGACTTTCTGAGGAAGAGCTCTGCTGGCCCAGACCACCCAGACCAGTTTGAGCTAATCCCACAACTCACTCCAACACAAATGGACCATGGTGTGACTTCTGGAATTACCAACAATAACCTTTACCTAATTATAGTACTAAAATCTCTGCCCAGCATGGAGCACAAGCCTCATTTACATAACATATAATATACATATAGGCATGTTTCTTTAAGGTACATGTGTGACCATATGCCCACTTCTACATACAACAAGGCTTCCCTATTAAATATTCATCCTGACCCTAAATAAAAGGAACACTTTCACTCTTGCCCAGGGAGTCACAACTTTGGAAGTTATTCCTGCGATTTCCTTATTTGGTACAAATCAAGTTTCCTTTGTGTGACAACTCAACTCACTTGGTGTAGTTTCTATCTGTGACTCACCAAGGAGCAAACTCACATTGGTTTGGTTACAATTCCTAAGTTCCAGCTTAGACAATAAAACCAGACAAAGGAAAGGGGGTCATACTCACTCATTGGGGGTGCCCTTCTGGCCACAAAAGTGGCCCTTGCTGTCTGTAGGGTAGGCCACTCTCCTGGGGTCGCCATGTACCCAGGCTGCAGGAACAAGAAAAGACAAAAACTCTATCAGCAATAGCCGACTAAAGGCAGTCTGATTTGAGAAATTAGAATGCATCACTGCAACACATTAACCTCTCCCCTCAGTCACAGGAGATTATTGATTTTCTTCAAAGAGTAATTTCTTAATGAAAAGTAAAATAAAATATGGATGAATCAGTCAGAAAACACATTTCTCTTAATCTCTCAGGATTCATCTGGGTTGTAGCCAAAACCTGAGGTAATGCATTTAGAAAATGACATTTATTAGAATGTGAGTTAGAGGGCACACTACAAATGCTTGGTTGGCTAAAGATACTTTTTCTAAGGCTTAAAACTGGATGACTTCATTGGAGAGCTAATAAATTTACAGCCAATATTATGATGTCATCCTTTTGGGTTATACATAAGTGAAAACCATTAAAAAATTCAAAGGAATGAAACTGTAATGCCTAATTCACATTAGCTGGTTCTTTCTGACTTCATGTGACATTCTAAAGGCAAATATTAGCAACTTTAGTGCAATATATAATAAAGATTTGCTGTACATTTTGTCTGTTAATCTCAAAGCTTACTACAAATACCAAGTATTCTCAAACTTCACAAAAACAAAAACTTGATTCTGTTTTCCCGGAAGATGCTGGGCTCTACCTCATACAGACTCATCACACTTATTTTCCAAGAATTAGAAACTTGACTGACAGCTAGACTACAGAATATCTAACTGAAGGTTTCTAAACTTTTTTAGTTTGAAAAATCCCTAAAAACTCTAGAAAATGCATTGGTCATGTAGTACTACTTGCCTCTGCATACAGAAAACAGATCTCTTTGTCCGTTGCTTCCTTTAACATGTGCCCAGCTATATCCTCACCCACATTTATCGGATTTGACAGTTCATGTGATAATTCAGTCACCCTTATGTACATGGCCTGTGTGACTTGAGAAGATACAAAAAAATCAATTCTGAATGAGAACCGTATAATATGGAAGAGAAATTTTTCACAATTTTTCTCATCCACATCTTTCCTTTTAGTATCTAAGTACCCAGAAAAGTCTCCTGTGTCTCATTCTTTCTTCAATGTCATGAAGGCCAAATAGGTTTCATCTTCTAATAGTCTTACAAAATCTGACTACATTCAGGCAGTCCTCTGCTGCCTTATCTTCTTGTCTTTATTTCCCAGAAGAAAGTAGACTATAAATAAAGAATTTAAATGTCATCTAAGCATTCAGTGGACAATGTCTCTGGATACTGTTTAATTATATTGTTTTTATATATTATTTTTGTCACATTTTGGCTAAAACTAAGAGGTTCAATTTTACCTATCTTCTGTAATGTATTTTTAAATTTTTCCCTGAAATATTTTATCCCTTTTCCATACAAATATTAATTCAGAAATGGCACCTGAAGGAGTATTTAGATTAGCTAGGTTGGCTACTTAATATATTTATGGCCCTGAGTAAGTTGCTTGTTTCAGTCTTGGCTTTCTAATTTGTTACTGTAAAATGGGTATAATAATGCCACACCCCATAAGAATGTTGGGAATATGAAAGAAGATAATATAATAGAAAGCCCAATTGCTTGGCATGAAGTATGGACTTGGTAATGTTAGTTCCTGTCTTATTTAGGTTTCCCCAAAACCAAACCCTGAGACAAGGACTTTGCTACAGTTAGGTTAATTTGGGAGATAATTCTAGGAAGCTTAAGTGGGAGTGAGGGAAGGAAGAAAGCCAAAAAAGGGCATATTAACAAGTGGGATACTGTTGGGAGCCATGGTGACTCCATCCTGCTGGGGACCTTCTGAGGAACCATATAGAACATGCTTGTTGGTGGGCGTGATGACATAGTCTACCATAGCCGCAAGCAAACTCTGAAGAACCGAGGGAATGTGGGGTAGGACATCAGCAGAATCTGCTATGATTTCCTTTCCCTTTTTCATAAATCAATTAACCAAAGAATTTGCTAAATGGCCATTGTGTGTGCTGTATGAGAAGTCAATTTATGTGAGATTTCTTTTTTTTTTTTTTTCAACGTTTTTACTTTTTTTATTTTTGGGACAGAGAGAGACAGAGCATGAACGGGGGAGGGGCAGAGAGAGAGGGAGACACAGAATCGGAAACAGGCTCCAGGCTCTGAGCCATCAGCCCAGAGCCCGACGCGGGGCTCGAACTCATGGACCGCGAGATCGTGACCTGGCTGAAGTCGGACGCTTAACCGACTGCGCCACCCAGGCGCCCCTATGTGAGATTTCTTAAGAAACACATGAAAAGGAGACGATAAAATTTGCAAGAGCCATACAGAAGAGATGGGACCTGGGAAAGACTGAAAAATGATTAGGACTCAAACAGGTGGCCAGGAGCAGAGAAGAAATTACAGATTGAGGAAACAATAGAATAAGAGCTTCCGTGTATTAATTGCTCACAATGTATCAGGTACTATGCTAAAAGTATTACATCCATTGTCTCATTTGAGTCTCACAATAGTTCTATGAGGTTGATATCATTTTCACCTTAACTCTATAGATAACTGTAGCTCAGAATTTTATTTACTTCTCAAGGTCACACAGTTTTTCAGTGGCATAAACAAGGGTTTGAATTCAGGTATGTTGCTGTCTAAGGCTCAAGCTTAAACCACTGAGCTATCAAAGCTATAATGCTACCCACTAAAGGATAAATTAGGAATGAGCCTGTTAACAGTGGGAAACAATATGGATGTCAGCAACATGAGGATCAGCAGTATGTTGGACACATATGGTAGGAAAGGAGATGACACCAGTAATTTTGGAGCCTTTGTCATTTGGAAAGAAAAAGCTTTGTACTTGGCAGAAGAGGGAGAGTATCTGGTTGAGAGGCATCGGATGCCTGGGAACAAAGGAGAAGGGGGCGGGGGAGATCTAATTATCAAGGGAAGAATTCTTTCTTGTTTCTGTAGTTTTGAAATGCAGCAGGTGGCTGTGTTTACTGAGTTGCTGCTACACCTCTCCAGGCAGACTCTGGCACAGAAGCTGTGCTGCAGATCATCTGTGTTTGAGCTGTAACATCAAATCTGTGACCTAGAAGCTTCAAGAGCCAGTTCAACCAAGTCCCCACAGTCAAGGATATCTAGTTTTCTCTTTAATTTTTTAAAATTTATTTTGAGAGAGAGAGCATGCACATGCACAGGGGAAGGGCAGAGAGAGGGGGAGAGAGAGAATCTCAAGCAGGCTCCTCACTGTCAGCACAGAGCCTGATGCAGGGCTCAGTCTCACAAACCTGGAGATCATGACCTGAGCCAAACAACTGAGCCACCCAGGCACCCCAAGTTTTCTTTATCTTCTCCATCAGTTCCTGTCTTCCCACACCTGCACTGGAAGAACTTGACTGGGGGAAAAAAAGGAGGAGAACAAGGAGATGTGCAACAGCAGCGTTTTGTCTGTTAATAAATTAAGGGATTTCTCACATTTTACTCCTTTTTTTTTTTTTTGGAATTTCTCTATTCATGGCAATTTTAGGAATGTGCTGTACAATATGGTAGCCATTAGGCACTCATGTCCACTGAGCATGTAAATGTGGCTTACCTGAATTGAGACACATAATAAGTGTAAAATCCACACCAGATTTTAAAGACAGTATGCAGAAAAAAAGTATAAAAATTTCAATAATTTTTATATTGAGAATATCTGAAATGATAATAGTCATACTTAAATATATTATTCAAATTAATTTCACTTGTCTCTTTTTAGTCTCTTAAATATGGCTACTGGAAAATTTATAGATGACTCACACTTTGTTTCTCCCAGACAGATCTGTTCTAGATTATTTCTCCACAGTTGTCAAGGGCTTTCCATATAAGGTGATTAATAGTGCCGTAACATCACATATTTTTGTGTCAGTCCTTTTCTAACCCCATTATGCCCAATGCATCCTTTTAAAACTAATATTTTGCCACATTCCTTTTACAATCTTGAAATAATACAGGCAACAATACTTACCCATATATAGACTTTCTTTTAAAATATCAATAACATGGGGCACCTGGGTGGGTCAGTTGGTTGAGCACCCAACTTCAGTTCAGGTCATGGTCTTATGATTTGTAAGTTCGAGCCCTGCATCGGTCTCTCTGCTGTCAGCGCAGAGCTCATTTTGGATCCTTCCCTCTCTCTCTGTCCCTGCCCTGCTCATGCTCGCTCTCAAAAATAAATAAAATAAAATATCCATAACATGTCCTAATATAATGTATATGAGAAATAAAAAGAAAATTTATAATTAAATAGTGTGCATATCAACGTGCAAATGCTCAAAAGTGACTAAATCAAAAGACAGTGAATTAAGTCAGTGCATGCACCTATAAATAGGCTCACTGAATGTAACAGCTATAACTATGAGAAGATGCAGGTGTATTGTGTAGGAGACTTAAATAATACAAGTGTGCTGTCAGTGATAGACGTCTCCTAAATGAACAAATTATAGTCTATTTTAACAAAAAATTACACTATTTCTTCAAATTCCCTTGGTATTTACTGAAACTATGCAAAAATAATATTTGTTACTTAAAAATGAGTTGTCATCTCCATGAGAGGGACATGGGAAAGTCCGGCAAGAAATGGGACATTTCCTGGTTGTGTAGGACTATCCTAGATATTACAAGACATCTACCTTTCCCAGATCCCATCCACTAAATGCCAGGAGTACTCCCCTTAAACACTGTGACAATAAAAAAAAAAAAGACTCCCTAGGCAGTCCTACTGCTTTGATTGAGATCCATTGATTTGCATGTTCATTCACACTCTTATAATTTGAGATATATATATACACATATATACGTGTATATATACACATATATATACACACATATATATACACACACATATATATGTATGTATGTATACACACACACACACACATATCCCAGATTATCTTTTTTTGCTTCCAGATTTTATGGGGGGATATGCTATCATGGAGTTCTTTCTTATAATTTACTCCCATTTACTTTTATTCAGCTGATCACTATCTATGGTGACTTT